AAAACGGGACGATAACGATAACGGTATCATATCTAGCACGCTCTTATCGCACCCCTTTCCACATCGATAAGTCTTGGTTTTTGCTGAACGGAAGTGGATTTCGGCGCCTTATCACTCCGTTGATAAGGCGCCACTGCCACTGAAACTTCACGTGTTCTAACATTGGGCAGGACCCCTATCCACTCCAGTACACAGCTTTCCTTATCGTCCCTATGAGAATTATCGTGACCACTTCCTTTAACATTGTGCGCCCACTGTACGGTTAGATAAGAAAATACGGCTGCTTGGAATGAGGTGCACTCCAGCATGAAAATCGAACGATAACGATAACCGTATCATATCTAGCACGTTGCTACTGCATCCTCTTCCATGTCTGATACGGAGGTGCACCGGCGAAAGTGGGTTTTGGCGCCTTAGGCCCGATGTCAGACTTTGCGAATCGCGCGATTCGCTAGCGTCCGCGGTCGCGTTGCGGTACCAGCCAATTGAGTGATTCACTGGCCGCGACGCGACCGCAGACGCTAGCGAATCGCGCGATTCGCAAAGTCTGACATCGGCCTTATCGCGCCTAGGATAAGCACCACTGCCCCTGAAGCGTCACCTGTCGTCTCATTGGGTAGGACCCCTACCTAATCCACTATGTCACTTTCCTCGTCGTCCCCATAGAGATTTCCGTGACCACTTCTTCTACGACTCAGATGAGAGTGCATCCTTGTGACAGCAGATCTCCGAGGAAATTTGGTCGACAATTCGGTCGTGAAGCTAGAAACCCTGTTGGTTTCAGTTTAAACGCAGTCATTCACTCAACAATGATTATGAAATCATGACACCATAGAAATATAGAAAAGGCTATGACGAAAAGATAATGAAGGCAGGAGCCCGGCTCATGTTGCATTTCTTGCAGTTTAATCTTGTCACCACCATATCTATGCTCCATCCCTAGGGCAATTCCCATTGTTGCTGCCCCACTCGTTCTCGAATGAATGAAACGTACAAACATTACATTCATACCAGTGTCAAAAAATCCTGCACATTTCGAGTCTACTGTATTTCAACATTAAGCAACTCCATAAATAGAGAAGCCATCAGTGGCTTGTTGTCAATGAACAATCGAAGAGTGGATATCATTCTTCTAGCAGAGCGGAATTTTCGAGAGAAAGAAGGCAATGAAGTCGATTTCGAGGTGCCCCTGTGAGTTCATTTTTGTCCGTAAGGTAGACCTCGTCGCAGGTGTAAGATTTCAAATCTGGAAATTTCGCCAAAAAAAGGCAATACAAAGCAGTAAGCACAACAGTAAGCAGCAACAGCACAGTGAACCTTTAGTGTTCGTCTGTCGACAAGTGAAAACCATACCAGCACCTTTCGATCCCTTCTCACTGGATACTACTATCGTACGCTGTGGAATAACTACATCGTATCTCCTTCACACGAATTTTTTCCGTTCCTATTTTAATTTCATGCACAAATTAATTCTTTGATTTTTTAGCGCCGGTCATCATTATTCAAGACATACGAATTCGCTTCGATCGATTTATTATATTTCCAACTCTTAACTTAAATATTTTCCTGTTTGTCATAAGTTCCGTAGAGGTCACATTTCACGAAAAATGGCTCAAATAAATATTAATAAATATTAACAACACGCACGAAAATGGTAACAATTCAATAACAAGCAACGCAGCAACACCATCAAAAAATGTTTGGTTTTTTCCGTATGGTTTCATTGACTGAGCTCCATTGACAACACATGAAACATACTAAGTATTGAAAGCGACAAGGTTATGGTTTAGTGATGAGACCATAGGCTATCCAACAACAAGAATATGAGCAGATTACATTGAAGCGTCAAGTATAAGAGACCTTCGACGGAGGAAGATGCCCAATATCTCCTAAGCTGCGCAAACTTACGCGCCCTGATGGCCGGATGATTAGCCATGAAATGCTGCAATTTCCAAGAGACATTCGCAGCCATCCTTCAGGCGGAAACTGCAGGGCACTGAAAGAAAGAAACAAGTGAAAACAGTGAAAGAACGTCGTACACCGCTCGATAAAAGGCTCGTAGCTACTAGGCTTCTCAAAATATATTGGGATAGGGAGAGGGGGGAGGGAAAAAGTCGTTGCACTCCACATTATCCACAAGTAAGCCTATCAAAGGAATTACGTAGCAACTTCAGACTGGAGCTGTTACGGCTTCCTTGAGCTGGGCGGTGATGTCAGATACGTCATATTCTGAAAACGGTGTTGGAGTGCCTGCTTCTGCTTATGGGAGAATATTTACAAAATATTTTGCCGAAAATTTACATCAACAGCGGCACATTCACTACGAAAAGTTTGGTGATGTGTGATATGAGCAAAGTGACTTTTCTGCCCCCTCTCCTTTCCCTCGCCTGTATCCTGTGTGGCAAGTTCCCCACGAAACTTTTTACCGAAGTAGAGAAAATGGCAAATTGCACCTTTTAAACCCTACTACTTGATCCGGTCTGATTGATCTGGTCCGGAGCCAATGTGTGGATCCCCGCGCACAAGTCGCCTACTACTTGAGAAAAACGGTATGACCTCAACGGAAGCCATTCAGCGTGTTCATCACGATATGACATTTGTTTTTGTCCTACATAAAAATTAACGTCATGATCGTGGTAAGGATGGGCCATTTAGCACCATATGACACCAATCTGGCACCATACTAGTGAAAAATGTGTCCGACATTAAAAAGGGAATTCAAACAGGCAACCAATCCACTGAAATGCCTTCATTTGTACGTAATCACAATTGCAGTCGCGAGTGGGGCGGGGCGCGATGCCACACTCGCGAGTGAGGTTGGATTCTCCCCGGCCCACTCGCAACGCGATCACGATTGCAACCGCGAAGTCTGACAGACAGCTATCTGGGGCTGTATGCAGCAGTTGCCCGCCGGAAACGGGAACCCATTCCCGACCGGAGATTCCTGCAAACCCCTAGGGAGATCGGAGAAATTCTTTAGGTAATGACTCAGCGAAAGGCTGGGCTTTTGCTGAAGTGGTGCAGTGGTGTCGATGAAGTAGGCAAACCGATTAGAAAGCAGTAAGATTTAACCGTTTTTACTTCTCTTAATGGCAGGGACTTGTATCGATCATCATTCCCAACCCATTCGCCATTCAAAAAATGATTTTCATGATCCGCACCCACTATTTACATCTATCAGTAAGCTTACAGTCACCTGCTACAAGGGTTTCGACACTATCATTACAACGTTTCTCCGCTTTTCACAAGACAGACCATCGCCCCTAAGAACAAAAAGGGGGGGGGGGGGGCTAATGCGTTAGTGTCATCAACGCCCTATTGCTCACTCGCCGAAGCGCGATAAACAACACCAACTCTAAAAACGCCAAAAACTTCCTGCTTACATTATTTCAAGTAAACCATTCTGTATCTGTACAATAGTCAAAAAATGCGGCCAAAGGACACACTCTTCCAGAACACCCAAAGCGTTATACCACATGTCTTAACTCGCGAAAGATGCTTTTCAAAAAGGACACTTGCTGTCAGAGGCGACCTTATCAAGCTCAGCACCGCGCGCCCGCCAAAAGAAACTAATCAAGCAATCAATATCCTCGAGCCAGGTTGTGTTCATTCATTAACAGATCTTTCTGCTTTTTATGCTATGCTTTTGTTATACGATATATAAAGCGGCCTGGGCCATGAGCCGAACCATACTTTAATACGTTGACGACAGCGTGACGTACGTCGTAACGTTGACGACAGCGTGACGCGGTAACGCGTCCCACTTTGCGCACCTCGTGGGACATTGTGACGCGGTAACGCGTCCCACCCAAGTCATCCCTTTTTCTTGCGCTTGTGCGACTTATTCCTAAGGTCTTTGTACTCATTCTATAGGTCATACATTAGCATACTTAAAACCACATGGCTCACAGAAAGGCCAAATATTCTTTAAGTTTCTGTCACAGACTTGTTTTGCAGACTTACTGATATGCGGTGGGGGGGGGGGGGGCGGGGTGGTTCAATCCATTCCTCGTTTTCTTCTTCAATACGTAAACGATCCGTGCGAATAGAACCTACTGCATGGGAATGATAGTGTCTTCACTGGACAAACCACGCAGAATTAATTCTTGGCAACCCTAAAGGGAAATTAAGTAAAATTTCCTTTTCATGGCCTTAACACGTCATTTCGGTCAAACTTCCATTACTGTAACTCCTGATAAGCTAGACAGATCGAACATCATTGAAAACATTTCATCGCATCTAAGTATTGCGGATTTACAACTCAAAATCCATGGATTTGGTGTGCGGCGGCTGCGCTCGCAAAATCGCTCTTGTCCCACGCGGTGCAAAAGCACAAAACGCGCGATGTCGTCAACGTGTTAAACAAAATATTTCCAACTAAAATGTGAACTATAAATCATAAAGAAATGCGTACCGGCATATGAAATATCGGATGACATTTGCGTGACATACAATAATTTCGTAAGAATCCTCCTTTTGTGAAGGTGGAGCGCGGTGAATATGCCGCCGAAACGCTGATTCTATTCTGGCTCCTTCCGCGAAGAACTCCTCAAATCCGTTTCAGGAGAGACAATTCAAATTGCAGAACTTAATGTTGATAGATGACGAATCGATTCAAAACTCACCGAAAGAGGCGGTTTCCAGTGATCCACAGCAGGCACAGGAGGATATGGTGGGCCTTCCTCAAGCAAGGAGCAAGACGTTCTTAACAAGAAGACTCACACTTTTAGTATTCTAAGAGACAGAACACGAGCAATCAGTTGTCGGTTTATTTGTCGCCTAACCTCTTCAAGTCCGGCATTTGTTCCAGTATTATCTCGGCCGTTTCTGTAGCTCTCACCATCGTTGACATAACGAGGCTGTCGAACTTCACTCCAGAAGCAGCCAAACGTTTCCCAAGAATTGCTGCTTGCTCTCTTCCTGAATAAACAATTGAAAAGCGATGAAGTACTTGAATATAGGTGAAAAATGACAGGAAAACAGAGAGAGCTGAAGGGCTTCCAAATCCGTATAATCCTGTATCCGCGTATATACCGCCTATAATTCAATCCTTCTCGAGCCCTACACAGACATCTGATGCATCTGGTCTTCGCGGCAGGGCCAACCGTCAGTTGGTCAAACTTTACGACCCCCCTCCTTTGGTTACGGGGCAGTCCAGACAGAAAAGCACATACTTTGTCTTTTGGACTAAGCCATTTCGAAGGAAGGAAAGAGATCAGAGATGCTGTAATAGTATGCATATGCGAGAGTGCCCAGGAACACTGCAAAATGCTGAATCATCAAGCCCTTTGGTTGACCTCTGCCCTTCTACCCCCTCCTTTAGGGAAGCCGATACACTACCACCTCCCCATCACCTGAGGAAGTCTCTCAATACAGCACCCTTCTTCACCCCCGACCACCACCCCCCCCTCACCATCATGGCTGTTTTTGTGGTAATCGATTCTGAGAGTAGACGACACCGACACTACGGGATTGACGTGACTACTTGAACTCTCCCCTATGTCTCTGCCGAGAAAGGCCAGAGCACAGACGATTAGAGAACGGTGCCTGGCTCGGCTTCAAATCCCAACCAAGAAGAGCTCTAGGACTAAGCCTTGAAGGGAGGAGGGACTCCGTAGTGGATGAGCCAATTATATTGTGGCAAAGTTTGAATACATAAGATCACAGTAATCATAAAGCGCTGGTTAAGCGAGAGAGCGCAGGCGAGAGCATCAAATCGAGGCGGTTTAAAGGGCTGAGTTCAAGTTGTCCGTAGACCGTCCAGTGGGATGGGGGAATAATCTAATGGAACGACAAAGTCTCTACCTCTAACTTCGACCGTTAAATGTTGCTTGCTTTTTCCAGAATTTCCACCAGAATTATCAGAAAAGCAGCCAAAACAACCCCAAAAATAAAATTATCTGAAAAGCTCAAATACGACCCGCTCCCTTCCTCGTTGTGAACTGTGCAACGCACGACTGACCTGCTCCGCGCCGTTCACGAGATTAGCCTGGCAGATAACAGGAGAGCAGATGGGCCTCGCCCACTATGACATGAATTACGAACAATCGGAAAAAAATGGGTTACTTACCTATTGGAGTAAGGTTTTCTTCTCCGAGTCCATATGGTATTGACCATGACGAATCAAAAATATGTTCCTAGTGGCTTTTGACTTCACCTCCTCGTCCATCTTCTTCTTTTCAGCTTCACTTGCTTTTGAGTATTCCTTTGCATTGATGAGAAACGAAGGAGATCGGCTGGAATCACCATATGCAAACTGCCGAAACGAAAAACACCACCTAAGAAACGTGATCCCCCCCCTCGTCAAATCATACCGAAGGATGTACCAATCTTGCATTATCACCATAGCCTTGCCTTAGATTATGACATGCCCTAAGCGAGTCGCCAATCTGCGGCTTCTATGGAATTCTTGGCACCTTGAGAAATAAACGTACCCACTCTAACACACCACCTAGATTTGAAATCAAAGTCTACTGATACTCCGAAACAACTTGCTATCATGTAAAAGGTGCTGCTACGCACCATCAGCGTTGGAGCTAACCTATAATCTGCGTGCAGGCCTTGAACATGGTTCCGACAAATAAAGTCAGTATATTTCTATCTGTACCACACACTGTACCTCGATATAACTTAAAGGAATCTTGCGCGGAAAATTCTTGCACTCTTTCCTAACATGAATATGTCAGTTGTGATCACTGGAAATAGCACACAAAGTTTCACGCATGAAGATTCGGTTTCTGAGAGAGAAACAAACGTACAAAAACTACACGTTATGGACCATCGAAGGACCAGGAGGCAGAGCCAGGCGAGGCATGGAAAGAAGACGGCGTTTGGCCGGCTACGTACCAGGCGACGCAATGAGAGAATCGGGTTAAAGCGCGCGATTTCGGAGAGTGGAGACAAATCGATCGATGGAATAGGATGGAGTAGAAGTGTAAGATGTGAATGCAACGAAGCAGAAGGCCAGAAGAGCTTCTAGTGAATGCACTCCAAGAACCAAGTTTGAGCATCCCCGTCGCCAGCATTCGTGAAAGACGTCCGTGGGCAATTCGAACGCGTAGCAGCCTTTTCGAGTTTTCGAATTTCTAATCAAAACGAAAGCAATACTTCAGTTCTTTTCACTATTATCGTGGATAATGAGTCTCAAGCCAGTGATTTATGGCTGAAATAGAATCATGATTTTTCCGCGCAAGATTCCTTTAACTCTTGAACTCTGCACTTAGACTTGCGGTGATGGAACTACCTGAAGGCACTGTTCAAAGGTACTTTAGAGGCAAGTGCACGCAGGTGAGACAGTGGTAGCCCACCACCTCAAGGGCGAAACGAATCCACTCGGGCGGTGGTTTATAACCTTTGCAAATCGCTACGAATTCGAAAGCATGTTCAAACCCTTGATGCATCAGTCGTTCTGCCCGAATTGCAGCGAATTTGCGGGTTCGCAGGGCCAACGCCTCACCTCGTCTAATCGTCCACTCACCAATTTGCTAACGTATATGTGCTGTTTAGAAATATTTATGGTGCCTCATCGTCTATTCGCCTACTACGCTAAGCGGTCCAGCACGAACTATCCGATACGTATGACAGGTCTTACTCCGGCTACTATCGTATCACCAATAGCCTGATTGCAACCTGAACGCTTGCCTTATGGGCTAATGACCGGAAATAATTGAATCAGTTCAAAATGAAATTGTATGCAGCCCAACGGGTTACAAGTCCCAGTTATCATCCCAAGTACCTCTGGGAAAATGCTCGTCAAAAGTCTTCCGTTCAGAGGCAGCGGTGAACGCATACGCCTTTCGTAATGTGCCGTCATCCCAAAATTTGGCAGCAACGGCACAACCCGAGACGCATGCTGCCACCTTCATGGCATTCCGGAGAAGAACCATCTGAAAACTCATACAAATAATCCAAGCACAGAAGAAAACGAGCACTTCACAGTTCACAAGCGCCTCAGCATAAAGGGGCAGGATGTAATGAAAAGGGTGTAGTAAGGAAAAACAGAGGTAGCAGATCAGAAAATTAGGACCAGCAGGAAAGAATAGATACGAGGGCGGGGGGGGTTCATGACTGAGTGATCGATTACAGTGCAGGGTCTTAAGCTCAGCAGAGGGCGACGGCAAGTTACTATAGTTAGTATAACATACATTTTGTCTCTCTTAGGCCCTGTTCAGAGATGTCCGCTTGCGCGAAAAAACGCATAGGCGAAACAATGTGAAATATGTATCGACTGAACGAAGACGCACAGGCGAATCGTGAAGTGGGAGGATCGACGAAAATGAGTATCATACGCATCGACTTACGAACGCTTCGCTCACGCGATTTTCCGCCTGTGCGTTTCTCACAGTCGATACATATCAAACTCTTGACTGAAATTCGCCTGCTCCGGACGTTTCGCTTACGCGTTTCACAATTTCTCAGTCGATGCGTATCTAAATCTTGGCGGAGATTTTCGCCTGTGCGTTTTTTCGCGCCGGCGGACATCTCTGAACAGGGCCTAACGCGCTGCTCCCCTGGCCCCAGAGGGAGCATTCATGTAGTTTGTACGACCGACACGCATGATGTTGCCAGCTATATCCCCTGCAGGGAACTTTCTCTGAGAGGTCGCGCTGTCTGGAGTCTAGAAACGCAGCGCATCGGTGGTCCATGACGCACACCCAACCATAGGGTAGTTCGAAGGATAGCATACGGCCCCTTGACTTTGTAATAGTGTCACTTACCATCGGCCCTGTTTTGAATGCCCCCTCCCCTCAAGGCTATGAGCGGACTAGGAACCAGAGAAAAGGAGTGAGAGACAACAAAAAACAATGCTGCAAGCTAGAAACGTTCATACTTTGTGACCGCCCTATGATTCGAGTGTGGTATAGATAACTATAGATCAAGCGACCGCTTGATCGATATGTATCTGCTCTACATTCGAACCAAGTGTAGTGCAGGACAGCCACAAATCTTGGCCGCGAAACGGCTAATTTAACGGTGTCGGCAGAATCAAAGGAAGTGATACCTGGACCGTATTCAATCCTTCCCCCAGGGGATGCATCCCTCCTCTTCTGATTCAATCCTCTTGGGAGAGACAAAAAAGGGTTGCGTCATAGGACCGCCATACCTCTGTGTTTCTACCTGCCAGACAGTTAGAGCAGCGCGACCCCTCAGGGGAAAAGAGTGCTTCAACAGTGGAGGGTAGTCGCGCTGCTCTAACTATCTGGCAGATAGACACGCAGAGTTATGGCGGTCCCATAATGCAATCTCTCCTTGTCAAGACAAAAAGTTTTGAATTGTTGCCAAATTGTTTTTCATAACTGCCGGTTAAAACGAAAAAGCGACGATCAAAATGGTGACGTTAAATACATGAACATAGTATAATGAATAAAGGAACGAAAGGACGATCTTAAATGTGTCCCATGTATGACTAATGTTATGACACGTGCAGGTACAAAATCTGAATTCGTAGCTAAATTTGGCTAACGACTTTACTCACTGAAACTCGAAGGAATGAAATTTCGAATGGATAAGACAGAGCATTTTCAATTAATCCATAAAAATTGTAGTTCTATCGGGAATTCGTCCCCGACATCTCGACGACGGCAGAAAGTGCGTGCTCCGCGGCCACGTTGTGGACCACGGAAACGCGCGCGATCGGGGAGAACAGTGTCCGTTGAATATTGCTCTCCAGTTTTCTTACTGTTTCCCTTTTTCTGTCCTTTTTTCTGTTTGTGTAAAGTCGGTTATGTACTTACACCTAGGATCTTTTTCTTCAAACATAAGCACGTTCATGTGTAATGGGGGGTGCACATTGGTACAGAAAATCCATTCAAAACCGCAACAAACAGTTTCTTTCAGGCGTCCCGCTTCTTCCCCCACTACTCGAGCGCTCATAAGTTTCTTCAAATCGTTGGACAGACTTAGGCTCTGTCTTATCTGGGGGCGCTATGTGCCTCGGGGGGGGGGCAGTCACCGCGCGCGGCTGTGCGGCAACAGGAAATTCGAACATTCCAGCTTCTCACGCATGTCATGTGACTGCCCTCACCCCAACCCCCCTGAATTGGCTACACTCCCCCTGGCTCACGAATTTCCTGTTGCCGCAAGAGCGCCCGCCGCCCCGAGGCACATTGCGCCCTGGGACGAGTTCTCGGCGCTCATGTCCTTGAGGTGAAGGAACCATTCAAAACAGGTCCGTGGTAGGTGACACTAGGATTGAAGCCTGATGGGTCGACCCTCAGGCACGGTATGAACAGCGGGCAGGCACGTAGACTGTCTCATGTGCAGCTTGTGTATACGTCCTTTGCACCTCGCGAAGATGGCCCTATTCGCCGCCTGAGCCTAGGCCAGAAGTGGCTCGGGCCAAGTAGCAGGCACTCTGGTGCACTAAGGCCCCCCCAGGTGTGCAACCTGCAGCGAGGGAATGCCAGGGAGGTCACAATGGCTATGAGCCATTGGTAAACGGAGACAAGAGCATCGAATTGAGGCAGCTTAAGGAGCTGAGATCAAGAAGTCTAGTCTGTCGACCCCCAACGATATGAGCGCCGTTTTCAATGTCACTAAACTCGTATAACTTCGTATATGAACAAATTTTGCGGCACCGCAGAGATAGTTGATCTGTTGAAAGTCTTCATTCTATTTATTTTTGTTTATAATGGTTTTTTCTTTTCTTGCGATTGGGACAGCGCTGCCGTGTACACCGAAATCAACAGAGGTTGGAAGGAACCCTGTTGAAATGGGAACTGCCCATACACTGTAGTGTATGCTGTCCTGAGGCTTGAAGGAAATGGCTATTTCATTTCAGTGACTTATCCTACTCAAGATGGATCCGATCCATCTTTTGGATGATGTCGCTGACGCGGATAGTGTTGCAAGTGACGTGAAGCCGACAGTTGCTCCATCAGTTCCTGCGGAGGAAGGATCTTCGGAAGTTCTTCGTGAGACTAGCGGTTCGTGAGACTTTTTGTAATCATATTATACCTTTTACCTATGTTGAAAGCATGGTAGGATCAAACGCGAAAGCGAAATGGTAACCTGGGGCCTTACTTTGGGCGCATGAGCAATGCTTCCCCCTAAACCTTAAATGCGGCTGCCCTCGATTTCTCTTCACCTTTTGCGTTTATAACCACTCAAAATTTAGTTAATGTAAAGCACACATGGAAGCCAGTTCTGTTGAGAAAAACGTCGCATGGAGAACTTTCTTGAAATGTTCTCTCTATGGCGAGTGATTTTGGAGCTTTCATGAATCATTCGGTGAAAATCGGCTACATCCGCACAACATTTCTGCTGTTCCTGTGAGATTCCCCTGCTCATACCAAAGAAGGAGACATTAGGATGTTTTAGGAACTTCAACAGTTTCAATTCTGCTCTTTTTCTCAGTTGATTGGCAGAATTTTTAGGCTTGGATGAAAACCTTGCAGCTCCAAATGCAGTTGACGATGTAGCAATGGAGGGAACCTCCACAGATGCAGTTGGCGGTGAAGATCATTCGGACGTCCAAAGTCTACTCAGTGAAATAGTTGCTCTTCGTTAGTTTTTCAGCAGTAAAATGTCTTGCCTTAATCACAGTCGCAGCAGATAAGCTTTGCAACTTAGGTCACGCAAAGTGTAACATTGAGGAAGAGCTGCTCGACATTAAGGAAAAGTGCAGAGAGCTGTCTACAAGAAATAGTGAACTACAGTCCCAAGTCGCCAGCAGCAGTAAGTTTTCGTATAAAATGATCAATCTCGCGTTATGTGTGCTAACAGCAAATTTCAACATTATATCTTTTAGTGGAGGACGTAAATGAGAGATCGCGTCTTTATCGGCAACTTGAAGCCTCACGAAACGAACTTGCCATGAAAAAGGTATGGAATAGTGCACTTTAGGATTTTTTTTAGGTTGGAACGGGTCATTAAATACGGCGTTCTTTCTTGGTTCGGATAGCATGTTGGAATCTCAGCCTTCTCTGATTTGCTGTTTTGTAATGTGAACATCGTAATTCTCTGGGTTGGTATGGTTTACGGACTACTTGAACTTTCTTCTATGGTCCTGCCACGAATGGCGGAGAGCACAGACAGTTAGAGAACGGCGCCTGGCTCGGCTCCAAATCCCAAGGAAGGAGGTGAGAGCCCTAGGACTAAGCCTTGTAGGAGGGAGGACTTCGAGGTGGGTGAGCCAACTACAGTGTGGCAAAAGTTTGAATGTGTGAGATCACAATGGTCATGAGCCGCTGATAAGGTGAGAGAGCGCAGACGAGAGATGGATCTGAGGCGGCTTAAAGGACCGGGTTGCAAGTAGTCCGTCAACCGCGTTCGCGTTTATAGGCGCGACGATGTGGTGGCGAAAGTTGGTATGAAAGTATACTTTGGTTCGTGTCAAAAAAAAAAACACTTGGAGTTGTTTGTTATTATGCAAAGTGAGCCTGCTGAGAGCACTGACAGCCTAGGTTAACATATGGTCAACCCCCTAGAAATATGCATTTTTGCCATGGGACGCTTTGTTGGGATTAATTCTAATGTTACAAAGGCAAGTGAGGTTGTTTCCTTCAGATGGCGCTCGATTGTGATTTGGAACGATTGAAGCACGAAAAAGAAGAACGCGATGCTGCCATCCGCACTCTTACAAAAGAAAAACACCTTATTGCAAGTAAGTCATCTTTTCTAGATTGTAGTTGTGTAAGAACATATGTATGTAGTGATGTGTATTGATAAAACTTCTGCTTCTAGCTGAGAACTTCGCTCTGAAAGACGAGCTTCAAAAGGCGCTGAATGAGAAGGCAGCTTTAACTCAGGAAAAGAACAGCATAGATCAAGAAATGCGTAGTGTCCTGGTAGCAACATTTACCTTTTCTTTTCATCGCTATAGTTTCTGCTATATCATGTTGAAGGCGTGAATTTTCAGGCAGAGCGAGAACGTGCGCGTGCAGAAAATGAAATGTACACGAACTCTCGTAAATGGTTCCTCCAAGGAACTGGCGCAGAAGGATAGCAAGTGTGCAGAACTTAGGATAGAGTTGGTAGGTGGCCATTCAACACTCACGATTTCGTCTCTATTTTTGCACGAATGAGCATGAACTGTGAACTCATTTGAAGCCCGCTCACTGTACATTGAGCGCAAAGGAAACTGCTCCTTTTTTCCTTCCCTTTGATAGGCACCACGCAGGCGGAATTCCTGCAATCATAGTATCTTTTGACTGCGCACCTTCTCAGGATTTTAATTTGCTTTCTTAGTCAATGTTCAAATCCTTTTAGGCAATTCGCGTTTGTTATAAATTTATCGATCGGATGAAAATAAGTTTTTTCTATTAAGAGTATGACCCAGGTTCGGTCCTAGGGCCATGTGTGCAGTAGCGGCCACGCTGGTGCTGCTTCCTTTATTTCGGAAATTCGCTCTCGTTTGATCACTTTGGTTACAAGCTTTTTAACAGTAGTGTCTCCAGAAGTGACGTTTTTCATTGGATTAGGTCTCTCTGCTGAATGTGGCTTACTATCAAGTTGAATCAGCGGAAGGATCAGAGTATTGGCATTCCTTCTCCAACCCTAATAAAGTAACAGTTATCACTGAGCAGAAAAGAAACATAACGTGGCTCTCCATTTTAATTCCTCTTCTTTGCAAAACTATCACTACTTTGGCATAGTACAAGAACTCTCTCGTCTGAGTGAGTTCGTTTTGAGCTACCGACAGAGAACAATAGACGGATGGCTTTGATAATTCAGAGCTCAAAGGAGTTATCATGGCAGCGGGAAAGATTGTCTCTCAAGGATGAGATTTCTCGGCTTCAATTGGCAGCTGAGGAACATGAAGGACAACTTCAGTTGAGGAAAAAAACATGCGGATGAGGCTTTGGAAAGAATTACTCAGGTATATATGTCCATTTCTGTTGGTATATAATTTTTAAAGGCATTTATTTTAGCTCTCTGCTGGACAGTGTAGCTATTGCTGATTTGGAAGCTGAATTGCGAAAAGAACGAGAACTTTCCAATGTTTATAAGGAGTCTTTGGAAAAAGCCGAACATGTCGCTGCCGAGTTGAGGTAGGGAGTTGTACATTTTCACCTGTTTCGCGTAATTGAAGAGAAGGTTGTTATAAGCCTATGGTCAATGGAAGGTCATTTCATGCTTTCGCGCTACGGCTTATATCACATACTTTTCTCGTGCATAAAATACGACAGAGCTGCTGAAAGTTGCATCATTTCAGCGAACAATATAAGTCTAGGGAGCACTTATTTGAAGAAACAAAACAAGTACTTGCTTCTGTGCAAGAAGACATTGAAGAGGAGAAGAGGTTGCGGAACGTTGAAGTAGCCATGAAAGGTCAGCAACATTTTCACATCCAAATCCTTTCTATTTTTAGTGCGTTCATGCTGAGCTACTTTAGTGCCTGTTTCAGATGAACAGATCAGTGAGCTTAGAGAAGAACTCCACAAAGCGAATGAACTTTTGAAATCGAAACACGCTGGTATGAATTTCGATCGAAAGTTCTCTTCTACATTTTTATGGTTTTCATTCCACAAGTGTTATAAGTTTGATTCGCTCTTTTCAGTACATTTGAACGTTAGTGAAGAAGAACTAGCTATACTTTCTCCAGCAGCTGTTGAAACAGCCCGACTTCTGCGAGGAGGACAGTCTCTTACGAGTATTGTTCGGTTCGTTCTAAATGCATAGTAGAAATGTGTTCTCTTTCCAGTTTAATCAATAAAAAGTTGTTCTGTTAAGTGAGCACGCAAGGTTAACGGGTGAACTGGCGGAAGCCCGTGAGCGCAACAAACAGCTTGAAATGAGTCTTCGTGAAATGGTAGAGGAAATAGAAGGTCAGTATTTTTTAACCACCTTATTTTCTATGATTATGTGATCCTGTTACGAATCAAATTTCTCTTAGGCTGGTGTCAGAGTCCGCGATCCGCTCTTCGCGATTTCGCGATTTTCGCGATTTGCGCGATTTTCGCGATTTGCGCGATTTGCGCGACGGGTCACGGAAATCACAAGTGCCCGATCAATACTGCAAGGTGTTCTCCAATCCCGCCGTCACTTCTGCTTGATGGTTATGGTTTAATGGAGACTGCTCATGATTCCACTTGTTTCATATCCAGTGTTTCAATTGTTCAAATGGGGCACTTGCAATTTTTGTGATTGGTTTGGTTTGATTCCTGAAAAAAATAGGAACGATTCAAGAGCTAATAGACATTGAACATGAAACAAGTAGAACCACAAACATTCGTCTTCCAATCTTTACTGCCAAGCAGAATTCGCAGCAGGATTAAACAACACCTCGCAGTATTCATCGGGCACTTCCAACTCCTGTGATCCATCGCAGGTTTCGCGAAAATCGCAAAAATCGCGCAAATCGCGAAAATCGCGCAAAGGATCGCGGACTCTGACATCAGCCTTATTATTTCTACGATGGCGTCGTTGTGGTTATCGAGAAGTGGCTGTCAGATAGAACGTCATATATCGGTTTAGTGGTTCAGGAATAGTTGACCTGGACGAGATTCAATGCATGATTAGACCCTTTGCATCTAGTAGTAGGCCGTTCCACTTGACGCCACATCATCTGAGAGACTGTGTAATGTAATGCATACCAAAATCAAGGTCTCTTGAAGAGTGCAAGATAGGACTTAGTAAAACGAAACGAATATAAGCCGAAGCGTGGTATTAACTTATCCTATGCGGATGGTTAATCTAGTCATCATATCTTTTAGTTGTTCCGCTTAATTATCTCACTCTAATAAGCCCTAATGTCAGTATTTTGCGACAGTTTTCAAAGTTTTTCCACTTCTATTTTCAAGCTACCCGAAGATCTTCTGCCACTTGGAAAAGAGCATTTGTTTGAGGCTCTGCTACATTCAGATATTATGACTTTTTGACAGATCGTGCTCCGCAACTATTTCATCAGAAGGATTTATTGGATAAAACTTTCGATCATAACAATCGTCTGCAAGAACAACTGAAGGTAATATTTTTGTTTCATCCATAAGATATGTCAGAATAGAGAATGCGAAAAGCAAAGCATGTCTAGAAATTGCCATAAAGCTTAATCATCTGGTAGTAGCAAATGGCAAAAACTAAATTCCTCGAAAGTAAAACACTTCTTACATTTTGTTTCTTGCAATCGCACCATAAATCCGTCTTGGGCTCGCATTTTCCACAAATGAACGATTTTTGACCTTAATGTGATAAAAACGGAAATATCTCTCAAATGCTTAGAAAGGGGCGAAACCACAACCTGTAGTTACTACTCATCCAATCACAGTTAGTGGTTTATTGGATAATAAATGCTAGGATGCTTCACAGGAGTAAATTTCTGTTATTATATTTTGTTCTTCCAAATTAGTTCATTCTTTTAAAGGAGGCTGATGAAGCTAGACGTCGTCTCGAAAGTGCCCGAGATTCAACCACTCGTGAATTGGCGTTTACACGCGCTGAACTTGAAAAGTATCAAAGAGACTACGCTAATGCGTCCAAACAGGTGTGCTACTGCTGGTAGTAGAGCTTGGGTGTGGTTCACTAGGACAGAAAGCGACTTTCGCGTTTCGCAGCGCGAAACATTTTTCGCTGCAGGAACCTCAGGTCCACCGCTGATCATGAGTGGACCTAGAGTTCCCAGCGAAAAATGTTTCGCGCGCGAAACGCGAAAAAGTCGCTTTCTGTCCTAGTGAACCACACTCGTAAAGCTTATTATTCATGAATTCTCAAGACTATGCCCTAACTCGTTTTCAGGTTCAACATTTGCTGTTTGTGTTGGAACGAGAGCGAAGAGGTGACAATGATGACATTAGTGATAATGATGAGGATAACGCTCGTTTGTTCGACAATATAGCACAACTACAGAAGTATGATCATTATGTCTGCGATGTAGCTGTTTAGTGAAGTTTTTGAATTCCAGGATCAATCGGCGGCTAGAGTCAGAATTGGAAGCAGCCAGGAGTTCTGCCGAGCAATTGGTTCTAACGTCGAAGAATGCAGAGTTTGTTGGCTTGTTTATATGCCCGGCTCTTGCCACGAATAAATGGGGTAATTTGCAGAATAGAGGGCCTGAAACGGGAGTTGGAAGCATCACACAAAACAGAGTCCAGTTTGAAGGGAGAGCTGGAGCAGATGCGTACCACATTTGAACTTGTATGTTATCGCTTGTATTCGTACCGAATAGTAGAATTCAACCCATCCAATTTCCAGCTTCAATCGCAGACAGAACAGCTGAAAAAGCTTGCAGAAGACAATGTTAGCGTTGTTGAGGCTAGGACCGCAAAAATAAAGGCAGAAGAAGCTGCTGCCAAGGTTTGGAAATGAAGTTATTGCTTTTTTGTACTATATTTTCTTCACATTCTTCACATGAGAATTGTGTGGGATTTTATATGGATAGACAAAGGAAACGGCAGTAGCGTGTGCTTCGTTGAATGTCGCTTCATGATTTGTTGTTTTTTTTTTTGTGGATTAATCGGAATTCATTACAGGCTCAAGCCAGTGAGGTGAAAGTAGCTCGCCTAGAAGAGTATATTCGTGCTATCAAAGAAGAGAAGGAAATATCTGAAAGGCAAGTAGTGAGAAACACCCTGCCATGGTAAAAATTGCAAGTTACTATGAAGTACATATTATACATCTCTTAGGGTCCACTCTGATCGTGTTGCTAGAAGTGAACAGATAGTATCAGAAGTGAAGATGACGAATGCTCGTCTGGAAGCCTCATTCGAAATGCAGAAGCAAACAACGGCAGTCGTTGAGAAGGTGTGGGGTTTGATATTCCCTTTCGTTGATTCTCTTAGAAATGCATTCTGCAGGAACTGGAAGCGTGCCTTCGGAAAAAGAAACGGCGATCAAAATTCGTGAAAAGAAAGACGATCGCTTTACGAGCAGGTGGATGCTCAATGCCGCAGAGTGGGAACAGTTTGCATCGGAAAACATGATGAGATTGCGAAACGGGCAAAGAGCTAGAACGAGCAATTACAAGTCAGTTTTAGGCAACGCCTATCAACTGATTGATTGATCTGTTTTTGTTGGATAAGTGCTGTTTTGCGCGCCGCATCGCGTCATGAATTTTATCACAAGAACTGGTTTGGGGCAAAAAACTTTCGCAACCAGCCGGGATTCGTACCCCGTGTCTCTTGTTTCCGAGCAATTGTGCACCAACCAGTTACATCATCGGTACACCATTTCACCCAAACTCAGCTTTTGATGGTAAACTTACCATAGCTTATCAGCATCAGTTTTGCCCACAACTCAGCATTCTTGTGATTGGTTGTTTCGCAAGTTTTCCCCAAATTGTAGTTCAAACACACTATCTAAGTTTTTACTCTGTTAGCCATAAATGATGCACCAGAGAGAGAGAGAGAGAAGTTCGTTAATCATGCTTGTTGAAGGATCGAACTTCGTGCGGTCACTGAAGGAGCTGCAACATGCTCGCTTGACCATTAATCGATTGGAGACCGAAGCTGAGGCTCGCAAGAGAACTTCATTTAGCGAAAACAGCAAATGGTTGGCTTTTCATTGTTGATTCAGGTTTTCTATCATGCTTGCAACAAATATAGCAAAAGTGAACTAAGCCATGAAGAGAGAATGCAGTGGGGCCACAGAATGACTTTCAAATTTTGATGAGAAACACGCTGGCATTATTGAAGACGTTTTAGGGCAGGGTCAACCAATAGTAGGACAATATAGCCACTGACCAATAAGTAGGTAGAAAGAGAAACGACGTTGCAGATAGGAAATAAACGAAATTTTTTCATTCATTTCTATGCTTGATATTTTAGCTTCTTTCATCTACGCTTTTCATTTTTTCGTTTCGTTTTTTTATCTCTTACGCTGTATAATACAAATGAAATAGCCAAGCAGAGAAAATTATTTGGGCCATAGAAAATTTGAAGTTTAAAATTTTTTAGTGAAAACACCATTATTGGAGACGTTTTAGGTAGGGGTCAACAAATGTAGGCATATAGAAAACTGTCCGAGTAAGTAGAAAGGGCAAGTCAATCAAACGAGGACATTAGAGTTTTCCGTTTATTTTCTTCCTGTGCGCCGGTCTTTTATTTGTTTCATTTATTCGTGTTTCATTTTCAGATGTTGTCTTTGAATGAGATGACAACTCGGCTTTCCCGTGTGGAGTCTGAGAAAACGGCTCATCTTGGGTCTCAACTTGATGTGCGTCATGATTTCCTTTTTTCCTTCTGTGTGTCCTCTTTAGCAAAAGTTCATTTAAGGTTGTACGTCTCGAACGCGACAGCCTCAAAACATCTAACGCTCGTCTCACCTGATCAGCTGTCAAATTCCAGAAATGATGCGAAGCAGGCCCAGGTACTTTTTTCTACCTGACCAGTTTTGCTTGACGAATCTGAAATCATCATGTTTAGGCCCGATATGAGGAGGAAATCTCTCTGCTGCGGCAACAGCTTGCAGAGAAGGAGAAAGAATTGGCGTTATGTGAGAGACAACTCATCGATTTGCGAGCACGTCTGAGCAATATACAAGCACAGTACACTGCTCAAGAAAGTACAGTAGGTGAGTGGAGTTCTGAATTCTATTAGACTTCCGAGTACAATAACCTCACATTACAATAAAAATGAAGTCGCAGGCTTCGGGTATCAAAAATTCCATTGATTTGATACAGGAATGACGCCTGAGCGTCTACAGAAAGAGTGTCAGCAGTTGAAGAACCGCTCGCAGTATCTTGAATGTCAGCTGGATGAGCTAAAATCTAAACTAGCTGAGGCAGAAAGCACTGCTATCAAAAAGAGCAACGAAAACGATAGGTAATTTGTAGTGACTAGCTTCCATCACATTGCAATGGCTTACGTTAGAATTTCAGGATGGAATCTCATAGTAAAGTCATGGAAACGAATTTGAAACAGATGGCCGAGTTGGGGTCAATGGAGAGGGAACGTCTCGAAGCCAGGGCGGCGAGCGCAGAAGCGTAAGCTTGTCGAATGTTGCATAACGTAGACTTGGTGCTCTAGTTTAAATCTTTAAGCCGTTCCGATGAACTCACAAGCAGAGTAGCGGAATTGTCAAACAAAATTGTTCAGTTGGAAAATGAAATGTCTGACATAAAAATGGATCAGCTGCAGGTTACTATTCTTTCGTGATTTTCGTAGAAAGTTTAATATTTGCATTTCTTAGGAGAGCACCATTTCGATGCACGATTTTTCACATTTCAGCAG